CTTTAAGGTTTTTGCATCATGCTTAGAATGATGCTGAGATTTTTATAAAAATTTGTCTCATGATTCTGATACTTTTATTGTTTTAGTGGTGTTGGGGGTGGCACACATGCATTTTTAAAAAATAGATCTGGAATTTATTCAAGAGTGAGGAATGACATAGAGATTTAACCTCCCTGCCTCCAGATGGATACCTGGTTGTCCCAATATTATTTATTGAGTGATCCTTTTTCCTGTTGTTTAGCAATGCTTCTTTTATCTCTTTCTAATTTTATTTATCTGTGCCATTGGTTTGTCCCTGTTTCTATGAGCTTAAAGTGGGAGAATGACTTACAGTAAACAAGTAAGAAAATAAGTAAAGATAAGTTCTATAATGAAACTAAGTAAAGTAATATGATAGCCAGTGACTGATGAGCTACATAAAATGAGTGGTCCAAACAAGCCTCCCTGAAAGAAGTGACATTTACTCTGATCTGAAAAGTGAGGAAGGAGTGGCTATGCAAAAATCTGGTGAAAGAACATTTCAGGTAGAGGAAATGGCCCCAAGATGGACTGTTCTCCATGTGTTCCAAGAGTAGAAAGAATAGTAGAAGTATAGTAAATGAGAGAAGAGTGGTGACTGTAGGAACAGTTGGAGAAAGAGGGCTGAGGAGAAATCACGTATCATGTAGAGATTTGTAGGCCAGGCGCCAGGCTCAGGAGTTTGAATTTTATGTTGACTGAAAGGAAACTACTCAAGAGCAGGGCTTAAAAATTCAGATCGTCTAGGGTGAGTTTTTAATTTTTATCCTGCAAAAAAGAGGAAATACAGGAGCACGGATAATATGTATATCAAACAAATAGGTTTTTATGTAATTAGGAACTATTTCTATAGGTTATGACTGTGTAATGGATTTGCTTCTCTTTTAAATGATTTTACACTTAAAACAGATTTTTAGAGCCATGTTAAGTGCCAAGAATTTAGAGCTTAAAAAATAATTACTTGCATTAAATAAAACTATTTAAAGATATGTTTTCAAGTGATATTTTTTTCTTCTATTAAAATGTTTGTATTAGGGAACAGACATCCTTGGAAGAGGGAGAAATTCCTTGGTTACAGTACAATGAAGTCAATGAAAGCAGCAGTGATGAAGGAAATGAGCCTGCCAATGAATTTGCACAGCCAGAAGCTTTCATGTTGGATGGTAACAATAACCTTGAGGATGACTCCAGTGTGAGTGAAGACTTAGACGTGGACTGGAGGTAGCGCAGTGTTATTAGCATACTTAATTGATCATTGAGTAGAATTTGTTCATGATTCTAAATTATGAAAACTGAATCTCTGATAGCTAATAAAATATTCCAGTTTTCCCATCTGTCAGTCTTCTTCTCCTTCAGAGCTCATATCAGATGCCACTTCCTGCATGGACTTCCTACTTACTCCAGTCCATGACCTCTTCCTTCTTTGACTGTTAGCTCTCTTGAAGCTCCCCTTACATCCTAGTTATTTATACACTGGGTTTGAGGTTTCTGGCTTTTAAATTTAGCTTTCTATACTAAATGTAGCATTTAGTATAATCCTTAAAAAAAAATCCTTAATGAATACTACTTGAAGAATTTTAGAACCTGTGATTGAATCAGAGGAATCATATGACTATAGTTTTCCTTCTCTTTATGCATAATATGGAAAATTTAATTATACTTTCCCAGAGATGTTGAAAGTATTAAATTTACTTTATGCTGACAAAAAAATAGTGAGCTGCAAATAAAAAGAGCATAAATTAAGTGCATTTTAGAATATTACAGCTCATGATACAATGGTCAGAATTTAACTGTTTTGGTTTATATAAACAGACATATCTTTCAAGTATGCAGTAGCCCTTTGGAAGCAGCTAATTATTGAGATACAGGGAGAATATTTGTTCCAGCTGATCCTTTTTTGTTACTTTTTCTGGAAAAAAATATGGCTTGCTTATATCTCTGCACAGATATGTTTTTAAGAATTTGTCTTGTTTTCCTAGTTAAAATTCCATTACAGAAAATTTTTAAAAATAAGGTAAGAAAAACTCATTTATATCCCCTGATAACTCTAGAACTTACGATTTTAAGGCCTCCTTTGTGTCTTCACTTTCCCTTTCTGTGTGTGTAGCTACTTCTTTCTATTCCCCAAATTGTTCCACACATGAAATTAAGCATCATCATGAAATCCTCTTTACCATTTTCTATTCTCATTACCCTGTTCTCTTGTAATAAAAATTATAAGTTCAGAGAAGACTTTTATTGACCATTTTGTGGAAGTAGAAGTGGGGTTTCATCACAGCCACAAAAACAGTTTGTAATTCTATCCTAAACATTCCCGTTCTCCAAAACCTGTTTTCTGTCTTCTCAAACATTATGGAAGGTCAGTGGCTTCACCTAATCCAGTCTTGCTGATCTTGAAACCCCCTTCTTTTCTTCCCTGTCTGATGTCTGCCCCTTCCCCTCTTACCGAACTCCTGTAAATTCTGATGTCTTCTTTGATAATATTATACAAAGTCACTCCTCACAGCAATGCTAAGCAGATGACAGAATCATCTAGTTAGCATCATCTGTGCGCCTTCAGAGGCAATTATACAGTTTTATATGAGAAATTTTGTTCTTTTGCACATTTTCAAATTTTTATAAATATAGTTTTTACAGCTGCATTATATAGACGGTCTTTTGTACAGACACACTAAAATTTAATTGATCATTTCCCCATTGAAATAATGCAGTAACCCTGACCCTTCCTCCTGGTAAGTTGGTCTGTACTTCAGGGTTGGTTTTTTTTTTTTTTTTTTTTGACACATTAATAAGAGGCGACATTACTGAGATGTGTCCCTTTTTTGAGATCTTGGTATATAGTTCTAAATAACGTTCAAAAAAGTTTTCAGATAAAAATTTGAAGGAATAATTGAGGTCTTTATTGAATATAAGTTTAACTTAAATTTGAAAACTTTTGTTTTAAATTCTAATTCATTGATGGTATTTCTGGATTTGGCTGTTGTGTTAAGATTTTAGAGACATTGCTAATTGTCCCAGAATTTGGGAAGCTTCACAATAGTTTTATTTTTTAATATGGAAAGCAATTAAGTGCTGATTTTAAGACAAAAATTTTGACGGCTACTGTTTTGAATTTTGTCTCAATAAGGCAATACCTCATTATTTGCTTATGTAATACTCTATTAAATGTATGTGGTAGTAGCTAAAGGTTGATAAGGCAAAAATATGGTTTGGTTTTCATATTAAAATAGCATGTCATTTTGATAACTAAAAGTAAAACCCATGGCAAATGGCAGCAGTTCTTATCTAATGCCAAAATTTGACAAACTTTTTTTTCAGTTTTTCTACTTCTTAGAGAAAAAAATTAAAGATATTTGGTTTTTTATTTTATCTTAAAGGAAAATGGAAAAAGTCCTCTATCAGAAGTTTTCTTTCTTTCAGTTAAGTCGCAGAAATGTTGTAGAATAACCACAGAATATTTCATGCATAGATTGGTGTGGTAGGAGTTGATATGGAGAAAACATGGATTTTGGATTTAGAAAAATCCCAACTGTGCCATTTATTTATTTGATAACAAGCTTTCTATTGGTTAGAAATTGAGGTTATAATTATTAACCTAATAAGAAATTGGGGTTATAATAATTAACCTAATAAGATTGTGAGAAATTAATGTTTTGTGGACATAACCATGGTTTAGTAATAGAATTTTAACTGTTTTGAATCATTTGATTCTTACAGAAGAGTGGCAAGAATAGTACAAAGCAGTCTCATGTATCTTTAACTGAGATTTCCAGAATGTTACCATTTACCACATTTGTGTAACCATTGTTTCTTTCCTTTCTTTATAGTATTTTTTTTCTGATCTATTTATGAGTAAGTTGCAAACATGATTCCTCTTTACCTATAGATAGCCTAGGATGAATTCCACAAAAACAAGGACATTTTCTTATATAACACAATAAAATTGTCAAAATCAGGAAATTAACACTGACAAGTACTATTATCTAATCTACGACCTATTCAAATGTCTATTGTCCCAGTGACATTAGAGAATTTTTTTTTTTTTGGTCCAGTCCAAGACCACTTACAGCACTACACCTCACTGCTAGATGAAGGGGTTCTAGTATTGCAAGGGAGGTTGAATTCAGTAATCTTAGTTTTAATTCTAATTCTTTTGTATTTCTTGGCTGTAGATTTGTAATTTTAATGATGGCACAAAGGTTGATATCAAAACCATTTTGAACTAGCTGTGTAACTGTGCATGTTTCTGACTGTGATACTCAGTTTGTAGTGAGAATACAGAAGTTACCAGAAGTTTGCTTTTTGGTAGACAAAATAAGCTCAGTTTTGGAGATCTAGGATTTGAGGTGGTAGGAGTTCACTGGGGTAAAGTGCCCCACAAAAAACTAAAAATGTAGGTCAAGAGCTCAAGAAGGAGTTTGGAATTAGGTAGAAGTTTCAGAATTACCTGCGGAAAGGATGATTGAAGGAATGGACTTGAGTGTAATTGCCAAGGGAACAAGATTAGAAGAAGACGACTGAGGAGACACTTAGGGTTTCTGAATTTTGAAATACTTAAGTGTTTCTGAGACTAGAGGGAAAGGAGGAATCTGTTTATATATAGGAATGGAGGAAGGAGATTAGGACC